AATCTTCATGGAGAGATGAAGGCATTCTGCATACTATGATATCCTTCTTTAGATAGCAAAACCACAGTCCTACGCTGGAGCAAAGCCAGCCAGGAAATTAAGAATTTCATTGCTACTGGAGGATATACATTGTCACTAACCTTTCTCTGAACATACCTGGTCATCTATCATTATCTTAAGTAATTCTCTAGTTTGAAGGAAGTCCAAAAGCACTTGAGGCAGTTCATTACTCACTCATAGAGCAGAGTGTTCCTGTGTACTTTCCCATAGCTCTGAGGTACTCAAAACAAAATTCAGAACGGGAACTAACTGCTAGCCTTCTAAAAATCCCAAACTCTTGAGATAACAAAGAGAATCTGTGAGGAAAAAAGAAAGAGTTTAAAACAAGAAGATGAATCTGCTGAAATTCAAATATTTCATGAGGTATTTGACTCCACATGGGGATGGTCATGTTTAAATGCACAGCTCATCAAGGAAAATTGTTTCATTCAGTACAGAGCATTTAATTTCCCTCCTTCTAACAAGGTATGGTTTTGTTCTTGCAGATCTCTGCATTGCAAAACAGGCCTTTGTTCTTTTGTTTCAAAAGAGGAAAAAAAAGTTGTTTGCTTTAGGCAGCTATTTTGTCATGCAGATGTTGAGGCAAATAAACAAACAAAAAAATGCTGAGTTACTCTAATTTAGAAAACTAGCAATTTGTACAAATACATGGGGGAGAAATTCATTGTGCTTTTTGGATTCACAAAAAGAAAAGGTGGGCTCAAAGCAGAATATCTTTGGCCAGCTCCATGTATGAATATAGCTAGATTTCAAACCCAATCTGTAAGTGAGATTCTTAGCTAAACTTACTAAAAACACAAGGGCAAGTCATAAAGGTCCAGGTGAAAGGCAAAAGTCTTAACATTCTTTATGTGGGCAGGGTGTCAAAATAAACATCTAACTTATTAAGCAGAGACTGGACTTTATCCAGCAAACAGGAACCTTATATGGCACACCTCCATTTTGCCTACAACACAGATATTCTCCATAATCCTGTAAGATTCTGAGAAGTCAACACAGCAGATAAGTTCTGCTCTTATATGCCAAATCCCTATCAATCTAGGTGTTAAGTTTCACAACAACAGAGCTGAGGCCAATAGTTAAAGCTCTTAACATAAGGAAACAGAACATCAACTGTATGTTGATTTTAGGCTTTCCATAGATCCCTGTTATTATCATAGTAGGACGATATAACTTCATTTTTCAAGAAAAAGGAGGGCTTTCATGCACTGTTACTAGATGAGAGTGTCAGTATTTTTCCAGGTCTTAAGATTCAAGGCTAGCTATGTACAGAGAGGTTATTAGTTCTGGAAAAAAAAAATAGTGATATAGAACTTAGGTTCTCATGTTTTATTTCCTCTATAACACCCTTACTTTCTAATACAGCATTTGTCAGCAAAAGCACACTTCCCAAATGGTCAAATTAATATTAGGCAAACAGCTAAGCTGGCCAATATCAGCCAATTTCAGTGCTTGCCTATCCTTCTAGGCTAGCTGGGGAACTAGTTCAACAGTATGCCTCTATCCAACTTAGGTTAAGGAAAGCATGTTTTGACCTTAAAAAAAAAAAAAATATATATATATATATAAAAAATATATATATATATACACACATATATATATAAATATATATATACACACACACATATATATAAATATATATATACACACACATATATATAAATATATATATACACACACACACATACATATATATATTGTCCTATTACTAGAATTCTGGTGGCTCTGTAAGAAAGCAAGTAAACATCACATGTTTATTAAATTTATACCTCAAGATACCAGTGTGAAGAATGGATACTTAGCAACAAGAAACAGGAGAGCACAAGATGTTCCATTCTAGTGACACATTTTGCAATGAAATAGAAAAGCTCACACCAATCTGTAACATCTAAGACAATGAACTAAATCTTCACAAACAGTGGAACTTGTATAATCAACAGTGAAATGCCAGACTTAAAAGCCTGAATCAGATGAATGTAACTCAGCCCCCCAAATTCTGTGACATTTGTCTCCTTGCCATCACCACGTTTTTCAATTGGATTGAAATGAGTAATCTTAGTTTTAAAAGGTTGGTTCGATATTTCTGTTGCTTTATTAAGGTCAAGGAGTCAAGAGATGAGAACGCTAATTTCTGCAAGCAGATTGACTGACATTTGAAAAAGATTTCAAATTCCATCAGTACGGCACGTATTTCTTAGCAAAACATTCATGTAATTTCTCAGGCATTAATCTGAGAAGGTTAACAAGTCAACTCCCAAAGAAGACAGCTACCCAGATGGCCTACAGTGTACCAACTAGCCCCATTAGGCTGTTCATGCAGATGGCAGTTACGGACCGTACAGCAGAAGTCCAGCGTGTTCTACAGTGTAAACCTTGGATCTGACTGGGAAAACTGTGGGAATGTGGAGGGTAATGAACACAGGGATGAGGTATAAGGCCAGTCACCAGAAGTCAATTCTCTTTAGTTTTTCAAGCTTCAGTCAGCTCTCAGAATATCAACCCTCACTTCCTTGGTTGCAGGTGGCTATGACTTTGCATTTTCTTTTCTGTTTCAGAAACTGAGTAGAGGAAGCCAAATCAAACTACAACACACTGACAACCTTCCAGCTTGGCAGAAGGCAGAGGAATACATCCCTAAGCGTGAATCATTCAAGAGTTTATTTAGTAAGTCTACTGGCTCGTGTAGAGGCAACAGGCAGAGGAAATAAAGTTTCAGGCACCTTCCAGAGCGCCCAAAAAACAGACCAGTAACACAACAATGATTCCTTTTTGCAGAATAGTGTTTGAGTATCATCAGACTGGGAATTGCATGCAAACCAACCAGCTCCTTCAGCTGGACCACAAAGAAGAAATGCCAGGGAAGAAAATAAATCAGGCACACAGATGAGAATAACCTCAAGATGAAGCTGATTAGTCATTTCAGTTACTTAAGTGGAAAAGAGAAAGCTTTTGAAATTGTTCCAGAGTTCTATGCATACACAGACAGTTGAGTATCACTGCTCTTTTTGCTTCAGTAATATTTTTCCTTTCAAGATACCCCAAGGAATGTAGATGATGTTGAAAAAACATCCAGCTAGCCCATGTCATCAGGATGTTAAGCAGAGAAAAGGGGAGCAGAGAAAAGTGTCTATATATTTATATAGACACTGCTGATTAATTAACAGAAATGATTCCTTTGGCATACCAGCTGCACAGTCTCTCTCCCCTGTCCAGAAAAGCTTGTGATAGTCTTTCCCCAGTTTTTATGATTACATTTTAGATACAATTTATGGAAAGTACATTAGCTTACAGGTCCTTTGAGCAATAAAGCCTGGGATGCACGCTGTACTTCTGCTGTGTCCTGCCCTGGATGGTCAGCACATGCCCCTGAGCATGGCCTATCATCCACCACTGTGCACTCAGGAAGACAAAGCCCTGCTGTCTTACAAAAAAAAAAAAAAAAATAATCCCTCAATTGTTCATCAATTAGTGGCTGGTTTAGCTGGAAAAAAGAAAAAAAAGTCTTCTCATATGCCCTCCAAGTACTTGTTTTGCTATGTGTTATTAAAGACAAAAATTTCAGGGCTCCTGGTCCATTTCCATACATTCTCACAGCATCATGGATTTATGAGCTCCCTCTCGTGGCTACATTAACAATTAGGGACTGTTTTTTTCCAACTGAGCAGTGGTTGTAGATTAGATATATGACACCAAAGGGCAGTTTGTCATTTTCTGAAGCAGGAATTGATTTTAATTTCCTCGGCTGCTAAATGAGTCACCAGAGCTCCTGCTGAATCACCTGTCACTACCTCTGGTAGATGCTTCTTCACTGCTTCAGGGCATATAGCCAATCAGTACTCATACCAATGCCCTAAGGAAGCATGTTGAGGGATATGCAGACTGGTTGGTGGGGTCTTACATTTCCAGACACAATGGTCCAATGGAGATATGCCCCCCTACTACCAGCCAAGGGCAGAAGTGATGCGCCTATATACCACAGAGCACATCTTTCCAGACAGGAACCTCCAGATTCCAGCAGCCCCAGAGGAGTGTCTCCCCTCTGTGAGTCCTGGCTTTGCCCCACATCCATACATTGATAGTCAGGCTGAATGATTTTAGATTTCCAACCTTAATTATTCTATGATTCTGTCATTCCAGAACGTTCTCCAGCCTAGTTCCTTCCCTCCCACGCAAGCTAGAGACTCTATGAGCATCAGTGATTTCCAGAGGTCAATTAATGAGCAGAAGAAGAACCATCCAGCTAACTCCCCCATCTTCATGCAGACTGAGCAACAGAGAGATCACAGACTGAGGGCACAGCAGGGAGATTTGCAAAACAAATTAAACATTTCTAAGCCAGAAGTCCCAGAGTTCAAAGGCTGAGTTCAAAACTACATTTTAAAAAAGATAAGGTCATACTGAGCAAATGTATCATACCAATTCTGGCAATAATTGTTTTCTAAACTGACAAAAGACAATTTACAAACTTATGGTAACAATCTGAAGGCAACCGTTAAAGATGTGGCTGAGATTTCCCATCTGTTTTTAGCAAAGTAAAATAGAAAGAGCAGAAATGCTGTTCCTTTCACCTTACACTCATACTTCCCTCAAACCAAACGTACTGACTTGAGAGACTTTTTGTCATTTTACCGTTAAGAGGTGGTCTGCAGGCCTAGCAACTTCACCCTAGACAAATCTGGGTCTTACACATGACAGCAAACAAGCAAACACTGCAAATCCATTAATTTTAGAACCCTATTTACTGAAATGTATTGGAGGCACCACACCCACACACAAAAGCTCATCAAAAGAATAAAAACTGCTTCCCTGTTTAGAATAACAGATTATCCATTTTAAACCCAAGAAATCTTCTGTAGGGAAAGGCAATGGCAGACAATCAGTTCTAAATTACCCCAAGGGTGATGGTCACAATCCAGTTAAAGAAAGAAAGATTTGCTTACCCATCCCAAGGATTAGGGCTTATGAAAAATTCCAAAAGGAGGGATCTCCAGGTAGATATCCTTCCTCCGTGGTAGCCAGCCCTTAAATGAGGCTTCTGATTGAATGCAATTCACCTGTGCTCTCAGAGCTGGCGGTGTCTGTTCACCAGGTGCTCAATCATTGCTTCAGGCCCTAACTTAGCAATTCCTATACATCTGCTTTAGAAGAGATCACTTATTAAAAAGATTAAAATTCATTAACAGAAATATATATATATATTTCATGTCAGTAACACCCAATAACAATATTATCAATAGTTAATGAAGTTCATAACCATATGTCCCAGAAAGAAGCATTTAGTTTGTGTGAAAAATGCAAAATTAATTGCAAATCATTTGTATATGCTCATTTACTACAATGACAAATAAGATGCTTAAATTGCATAAATGGCTAAAAATCATTTTCTTGTTTTAATGGTCATCTGATTGTAGTGCAAAATTGCTTTTTCTCATCACATTCACCTGGTTATGCAAATACTTGTTGTAATGATTAGACATCAGACTTCTTCGTCCTTATCTCTAAATTGGAGAGGTATGGATTTGAAGGCTGGACTATCAGACGGATAAAGAACTGGTTGAATGATTGCAGCCACAGGGCTGCTGTCAACGGCTCTATGCCCAGATGGAGACTGGTCACAAGTGGTGTCCTCCAGGGGTCTGTCTTGGGACTGGTGCTTGGTACTAAATATACCCTCAGAAAGTTTGCTGCTGACACCACACTGAGTGGTGCAGTCGACAAAATAGAAGGGAAAAACATCATTCAGAGGACCTGGACATGCTTGAAAAGTGGGCAGTGAGAATCTAATGGGGCTTAATAAGTTCAAGTGCAAGGCACTGCAGTCAGATCGAGGCAATCCCAAATATGAGTACATTCTGGGAGATGCACTCATTGAGAGCAGTCCTGCAGAGATGGACTTGGAGATCCTGGTAGATGAAAGGCTTAACATGAGCCAGCAGTGTGCGCTTGCAGCCCGCAAGGCCAACTGTGTTGTGGGCTGCATCAGAAGAGAGGTGGCTGGCAGTGAGAGGGAGGGGATTGTTTCCCTCTGCTGTGCCCTCCCAAGGCCCCATCTGGAGGATTGTGTCCAGGCCTGGGGCCCCCAGCACAGGAGGGATGTAGAGCTGTTGGAGTGGGTCCAGGGAAGGGGCACAAGGATGATCAGAGGGCTGGAGCACCTCTGTTACGAAGAAAGGCTGAGAGAGTTGGGCTTGTTTAACTTGGAGAAAGCTCTCGGGAGACTTATTTGTGGCCTTCCCGTACTTGAAAGGAGCTTATAAACAAGAGGGGGACTGACTTTTTACATGGTCTGATAGTGACAGGACAAAGGGAAATGGCTTTAAACTAAAAAAGGGAGATTTTGATTAGATGTTAGGAAGAAATTTTTTTCTCAGAGCAGTGAGGCACTGGAACACACTACCTAAAAAAGCTGTGGATGCCCCATATTTGGAGGCATTCAAGGCTAGGTTGGATGAGATCCTGGGCAGCCTGATCTACTGGTTCGCAATCCTGTCCATGGCAAGGAGTTAGAGCTAGATGATCTTTAAGCACCTTACCAACACAAGATATTCTATGATTCTTATTTGAAAGACAGTACACATTCCTGCCCTCCTTTCTCAGAACATTTAAGGGTTTATCACACTGCCTTCACCAGACTTTGGATCCAAGCTCCGAGAGACAAAACCTTGGTCACAAGGCATGATGTTTTGGTGCAACAGCATCCCTCCAGGGAAGTTAAATTCTTCATCTGGAAAGAAAGAACAACAACAAAACTACTTCAAAAGGCAGCCAATACACAAAGTGCTGTGCAAACTGTAGCACAAGTTCAGTTCTTCCTGCAAGATATTATTTCACATTAAGCAACATTCTCCTTTTTGTCAGGTCTCAAAATACAGTAAAACAACACAAACCAACAACCCAGACAAAAGCTGAGAGCTCCAAGCAGTGGATTTCAGATGGAAAGAGAAAGGCATCGTGCCAAGTGCCCTGTGACCCTAAGGAGCTGCTGCCTGTAGCAATTGACTGGAGCACCACCCTGCTCTGCAGGTGACCCCACATTGCCTGCTCTTTGATATTTATGGTGGCATTTCACCACTGTATTGCCCTTTTAGAGCTCACTCCCACCATCAGATCCTAACACAGGTTATTCTGCAAATAGCTCAATTCTGAACTGAAAACTCAAGCAGCAGAGAAGAGTTCAATTTCAGGAGAATGGTAAACAAAGAACAGGACCAAAATGACATCTCGAAGTACTCATTTCATCTGGTTGGGAACAGCCTGCAGCCACAGGCTCAAAGCGATGGGAATGTAACGATAGCAAGCACTGCACAGCGAGTTACGAACTGCAGTTGCAGAGTTTGGATAAGACTTCCAAATGCTGAAAGGCTACACTTGGCATTCGGTTTCAGAATTGTTGCTGTTGTGAGCCCTTTGAAATCTAAGCATTCTGACACATTTTAATACTGTATATGTAAATAATGTTTTTCACATTCAGGCAGAAGGAATCAGGCAGACTAATAATGCACACATATTAGAGATAATGCCTTCGGGGAGAAATAATAATTTGCAGCTAAATTACTTAGGGAGGTAATTGGTATTTGTATCCCATACTGCCTAGCATGATATTTAAAGATGCTGCAAAATTCTCGTTACATAGTTATGTTATATGCTGTGAAGCAGCTCTCAGACAAAAATCTGCTTAATAGTTAAACCTGTTGCTATAACAACCACTTTTCACAGACACGGATACACAGAACATACACAACAACATCTGCATTAACAAAATCTCTTATTACAATTGAATTTTACCTGGCAAAAGAATCAGTTAAATTTGGGGGGGGAGGGGGAGAGGAGGGAGAAAGGTCTTTTTTTTCTTTTTTCTTTTTTCTTGAACTACCAACAGAATTTGATCTTTGAACACCAAAAGTCTCTCCAAGAAAAACTTCCTGTTTAATTCACCTGGTTTTGGGTTCCACTTAAATGTTTCCCCTCCAAAGAAAGGAATTCAACATCAGCCAAGCAGACATTTAAGCATATGGCTGATTCAACTTAAGTGGGTCAAAATACTGTTTTTGATACACACTGCACATGCTCAAAGATGCAACTTCTTCCAGCCTTTGCTCACAAAACTGAAGAGCAGAAACAAAAGCTCAGTGTGACACAGCAGGTCTGGCAAAGAATCAGCAGACTTTTCATATATTTATTTGATCACCGTTTGCCCCAGCTTTATCCATCTTAGACCTTAATTAATTGCCTGGAATAGGAGAAGGGTATATCATAATAATAATAAAGAAAATTGAAAGAGAGAGATGAAAAACTCTTGTAGGTCAAGCTAAGGCCAGCAGAGAAGTGTTAGGGGCAGTTCAGGAATGGCAGACGGTTTGTGATGCTCTCAGTAATGGTTTGTGATGGCTTCCAGTAATTATGGATTTTTACAGACTCAGGAGGTTCATCTCTGCATGAAAACAATAACATACAAAGGAGTGCTACACACAAAGCACAGTGAAAGCCGCTGACTGGGTGCAGGACTGGGTGTGAAGATGGTTACTTCAAAATAAAGAGAATAAAAACTTCTGTGTAATACTTCCATCCACTTGCATGCACGATACAGTGGCATTACAAAGGAGTATGACAGTAATTATTTCCATCACATGAGACTTCATTTCAACCTTAAAACATCTCACAACTAGAAAGACCAAAAGTGGTTTGGACCTAATATAGGAAATAATGATTTTCAGCATAAGAAGTACTCACCAAGAAATTTTCATACACATAATCACAGAAACACAGAACTGTATGGGTTGGAAGGGACCTCCAGAAATCGTCGATAATCATATTACTTTTTATGATGGGCCAACTGTAGCTCCTACCTAGTTAAATCTGTTCTTCTCATTGCCAGTTATGAAAGATACCAGTGGAGACAGAAGTACTTGTCTGATTTACAAACAATTTGACATCTCTGTACCATTTCTCTATTTAGAGCATCTCAAACAACACAACTCCTACAATAAACACAAATTTCTTTGACTCGCTCTATTCCCTCCTCCATCAGTTTCAATATTTACATATTCTAGAAGACAGCTTCAGAAGCAAGATCAAATTTAGCACAAGTTTCACAAAGCTTTCCAGAACTGTGATTTTGTTAATAGCAAGTAGAAAAATACAGGTTTCTACACAGCTGTCTTCTGTGTTCCTCTTGAAAACACCAGCTGTGGCTTTGAATTAATGTTATTGTTTTCAACTGGCTGCACACCTTTTAAAGGATGAAGGAGGGCACTGGAAGCAGAAGCTGATAACTATGTTACGTTGTTCAAGGTTTCTCTTTCAATATAGAACGTGTAAGTAGTAAGGCAGCCTGCCAAGGGCAGACCACAGAAAGATTTAGCAGTAAAAGTTACACATTTTTTTCCTTTTAAATGTAAGCACAAACTAATGTGTGCTAGACTAATACTGTTTACAACAGAAGGCACTAAGAGTATTTTGCCATCGATGATAGAAATACTCAAGTTGCAGGCCTCCCACTTAAATGTAACTAGCCGTGAGTTGTAGGGGTGACCCTACAACTGGGAGGTCAAACAGGAGTGTGAAATGTGTTACTGTGGCTGTCAGATATGCAGGATGAATAACCAGCTCATAGGAAAGGATGTTTTGCTCTTCATTTCTGAAGAGATGAGATTCCACTCACTGACTTGGTGTGTTAAGTCAGACATAATGTGGAAGGAGAAGAAGAAGACACTGTGATGGTAATGAGAATAATCATTAAACTTAGCCATTATTCTTTCAGCTATTTTCTAAAAAAAAACATTTAAGGAGTGAGATTAAGATTAGGAAATCTAAATGTATGGCTTTAATTTACAAGTAAGACTCAATATAATCAAATTAGGACTCAGTGTATAGGACTAGTGCACTATGTCTGATTCCTGTCATCTAAAACTCGTAACAGCTTTAAACAAACATGGAAACTGGGTTACTAAATAGCTTCTGTCCAATTACAGGAAAAAGCTGACAAAAAAAAAAAGGAGGAAACTGCCTCATCATTTCGCTGACATTAACTGGCATCACACTCTACCTATATCTAGGTTGCAGTCATCGTATTCTATATCCTACTCTTTTCTTCTTAAGAAGACAAGTGTGTGAGAAGAGTAATCTTTTATTTAAGCCAGGTAACACATCCGAGAAAGCAGTCCCTATTTCAGCTATTTCATAGCCTCAAGCAACTTGAGGCCAGTGAAGAGCTACCTTCCTGTCAGATAAGCAATGGCTCCTGCACTGCAGTTTCTCTACAAGAAAAGCCAGACCCAACTGGGACACACACCAGGGCACAGCAGCCTGCAAGTCCCCGCCAGGCCCTGAACAGGCAGGGTCTCAGCTGGAAGGCAAGTTGGGAAGCTTCCACTGTTGTGACATATTAGATAGATAGACATTAGATAGACATGATTCCATTTGTGCCCCTTGCAGAGAGCTGTATTGGTGGTTTTCCTGTTATTTGTTTTCCTACTGCAATCTCCTTTAGCCGCCAGCACAATTTTCAAATTACAGGCAACTTACAATAACAGTGTGAACAAAACGGCTGGTGTTAAATGCTGTTATCCATCTCCACTAAAACTTTTTGATTATTCAGTATAAAAACTGGCAAGAAGACAGATGGCATCCTTGATATATTTTAGCAATTTTTATCCACTATCAATTATTTATGCCCACTTTTGGTTACAGATGCAAAATAGTCCATTTTTTACATTTTCCAAACAGAGGCTTTCAGTACTGGCTTCAATTACAGCTAAATATCGAGCTTCAGTTGGGATAAACTGCCTACTTTTGACAGTCTTCTCAGGCTCTACTGGAAGGCACAGGGACAGGGCTGACCTCCAGCCCAGAAACCTATCATCAGGGGCTGCCTTGGGGCCACGACTGTGCAGAAGAACTGCTGCTTCCACACAGGACCAAGAACAATCCTTTTGGTTTACCTGTATCATCAGCAAAACCAGTAAATGGTACTTTTAACTGAAAAGAGAAAATGTTCCATAGAGTTGAGTTACAGAATCATTTGAAATGGCCAGAATTTTTCTTGGCCCAATCAAAATTTCTATGCCTTGGCTAGAAAAGAAGAACATGCCTAAAGGATGCAACACCCAAATCTACAAATCCCTGTTTCTAATGCAATGGCTCGTGAGAGCTTTGCTCAGGGACAGCCTGCTCCCATTCCCCCCACTGTGAAGGCAGACTCCTGAGCAGCCTCTCTGGAGATGCTCCTAGAGGCAGAAGACTGTGCATCATGAATGTGAAATGGCCAAAGCGTGTCATGGAGGATCACAAAATCTATATCACAGAGGACAAGGAGAACATGAATATATGAGTTGTGGTTTTTATGGAATGCCGCCCTAACAAGCGTAGCTGTAACATTCTGTACGCTTCATTCACCTGGAGGTCTGGCCCTCTCTTCCTTGCAGCCACTAGAGGTCAACACAATCACATACTTCAGAGAGGAGCACAGAGCTATGGTGGACCGATGTCTGTCATTTGAGCTGGGATTGTGAGATGGACCAGGGTCACTGCTCACCTCCAGCCTGATGGAAAATAGCACGTGTGGCTGCACAGCTCCAGTGGGCCAGAACCACAACTGTCTTGAATGCAAATGGGCCTCATTCAGCCTGTGGAAAAGGAAGGGATGTGGTCACAAGAGTGCATGGCACTCATGATGGTCTTCCGATCTGCGGCCAATGTTCTTCTCATACTGCAATGCAAAGTCAGGAAACCAATATCTTCTCTTAGATAATACACTTCCAAATACACTTCTTGCATTATTCAGATTCTCTATGAATTCCAGAGGCAATGACCAGTGCTTATTTCAGTGCAGGCATACAATTCTTCAAAATCTATCTTAGAATCTTGTATAACTGTCCAGCAGTTTTGATTCCAAAAATGAATGGATAGACAAGCATACACATGTAGCGGAAACCAGCTCTTCAATCATTTAACCACCTCCCACAAACATGTATTTTCTGGAAAGCCTAATACATTGCTATTAAATTATGAAATTGTGTCTCTCACATCCCCAGTTTTACTGCTGCAGCTTGATAACCTCTTCCCCAGCTGGATGTTTGTTTTGACATAGCATGTCACTGAAGTTCCTCATTTTATCAATCTTTTCCCAACACAAACGTACATAACATCTTCCTAACATCATGAATATCAACAGTGACTCCACACCCTCCACACCCTTACGCCCCACCCCCAGTTCATTTTGCTACCTCTTTGCATGGCCTTGATCAAAGCAGAAGGAAGAAGGTGCTGGGGTGGCTTCCTTTTTCTTTTCTTCATTTGCTGCCTCTGTGAAAGGATGTCCTCATGCTGCTCCTGTGGGGTAGGGGGGAAGTGGGAGCAAACATGGTAAAGGGAAGTTGTGGAGTCACCATCTGTGGAGGTGTTTGAGGAAAAGGCATACATGGTATTTAGGGACATGGTATTTAGGGACATAGTTTATTGGGCTGTATTGGTGGGAAGTGGCTGGTTGGACTAGAATGATCTTGGAGGTCTTCTCCAACCTTAACAATCCTATGTTTTAGCAAAATAAAAACACTAATATTTTGCCTTCATCTTTATATTTTAGCCTCTTCCAATAAAGGACAATTCAACAGTTTCTTTCAATAAATATGGATTTAAAGTTCAGGTTACTTCAGATTCAAGTTATTGCTGCCTTATGAAAACCTCTGTGCCAAGTGGAAATATTATTACAAGCCTTATTGCGTTCTCCTGATTGACATGCCAGCATTATAGATAAACTGCTGTCAGAATTGTGACTTATTGTAGAGCACAAACTGTGACATGTAGTGATGTTAACAGCTTTTCAATTTCTTTTTATGACAGTAAGCCCATCTTCCTCAAATAATTACACATATTTATTACACACTGCTAACTGCTTCATTGCTTTAGTAACACTATCTCACGCTGATTCTAGAAATCAGAGCACGTTCAATTTTAAAGTCATTTAATTTAGAACAGTAACTGCACATAATTATTAGAAGTTTCATAGAGGGTCTTGATATTCTGTACCTACTTAGAAGAAATTGCGAATTTAAAATTATTCTTTTGATCAGTAAAACATATCCTTGTTTTTTTTTACTTCTTGTACTATTCTATAGATTTCTGTTGTTGAAACACACACACACACACAAACACACACACACAAAAAATAAAAAAAACACAAAAAAACCCACCCTAAATCATAACAACCAAGGAATTTGGATCTAGAAGTATGGAAAAAAATCTTTACTCGGACAGTAATGAGTCACTGGCAGTGCCACTCAGAGATGCTGTGGATGCCCCATCCTTGGAGGTGCTCATTGCCAGGTTGGATGGGGAAGCCTGAACTGGTGGGTGGGCATGATCTAGAAAGGGATTCTGGGCTATAAACACAGAGGGCATGCCTACCCCTGGTGGGATCTCTCTGTCCACCCAGGCTCCTACTGCTGTCCCTCGCTGGTTCTGCAGTAGTCCTGCGCTGCTCAGAGATGTGGCTTCCCAAGTGAAGCACTATGTCACTCGTAGTGCCCAAATGCTTTCCTACAGTTTCTTCCTGACGAGAGAATCTGCACTTCCAGTGTTGAGAAAGATAGCAGAAATAATAAATACAACTTCAGCAAGAAGAAGCAGAACAAAGAAGACTGCTTCCAAGATCAGACCAGGGCTCACCTACATTTCAGGCATGGATTTAGCTGCTCTGAAGTTTAAAAAAAAAAAAAAAAAAAGAAAGTTGGAAAAGCCTTCTCAGACCTCATGAATCATTCTCAACTAATGAGAGTAAGATGTGGCTCAGCTATCAAATAAACACACATTATCTGCACTTAGCCCTGGCGGACGTGACTGCAGGGCTGCAGCCCATCGGGCTTCCAGCTCTTAGGATAAACAGGTACTGATCATGCTTCATTTCACTCTTTTACTACTGGATGTACTGGTTTATTCATTAACTGAAAGTCCTCTAGGAGGACAGTGCTGAATACACTGGTGAGCTCCTGTAATGTTAAATTCATTCTTCTACCAGTAAGATTTTAGAATTTACACAAAGAAAACAGAGGCTTCACTAATCTCTCCAAGCTCCCCTTCTCTAGGTTTCCAGCCATTAGGTTCTGAAGGCAGGATGAATTTGGGGAAAAAAAAAGGAAAGAAACTGCAACAATGCTTTAATGTTTTGCTTGTTTCTTTGTGCTTAATTCTTCAAGCTCTTCATTTCTGTCTGCAGGCAGATCCTGAACACTTGGAGAAATACATTTCAGAAAGCTGTGGCTCTGAAAGGCAGCCATCACAGTCACATGCATGGGTGGGAAGGTATATAAGAATGTTCACATAGTTGTGGCAAGGTGTCACTGAAAAATATGTCAAAGAGCTTCCACAAATTTACTCTAAATCAGGCAGGGCTCCCACCAATGCCACCAAGACTGCAGCTTAGATAAAGGTCTATGTCTCAGATCGTTGGAAGGGAAAGCACATTGGTGAGCAAATTTCGTGGCATCAGAGACAGCTAAAGCAGGCTACATCAGAAATACAGCCATGGTGATCATTAAAAATATGAATTTTTGTTTCTTTTGAAACAAAAGAACTTTTTGAACTTTCGTTTGCTTATAATTTCAACAAACCTCCACATTTCACAGCTTCATAAAAACGTGAGAGAGCTCTTCTATGGTTACACATCTACCCTAGCAGCAGACTAGGCACTTTCCTAAATGAATACATCTTCACCAGCATACCTGTATTCATATGATAATAATATTTAAAAAATAAAGTAAAAGTGTGCATGACCTCAAAGCAACTCACCCAGGTCTGTAGTTGTGTGTGGACAAAGTCAGCCAGCCCCTGAAAACCAAACAAACGAGTCTCATATACAGTGTAATGCATCAAATATCACACAAAGAAATTTTTCCCATCTTCAAAATGTAAATACAACTTTGGTTCTACAGATATGTGGAGCCAAAATCAAGGAACACTTAAAAGCTCTTAAGCAGATCCTAAAAAGATCTTGAGGAGACTGCTTCCATTTTTAATTTGTCTGCAAGGAAATAAGCAATCACAGATGTCTGAGTTTGATTTGTGATAGTGTGCAGCAGTTGTTTTTGTTGTGAAGTGCAGGATTTGGATGTCTGGCATTCCACCATCACCGAACCACTGAGGAACCAAAGTTTTCTCCTGGATTACTCTTCCTGCTCAGACCATTCCTGTGGTCTCACTTGCAGCAGAGCCAGCCCAGCACTTGGACACAGGTGACCTGCCCTTTCCTCCGTATTTCTTCCTCCTCCCATTTCTGCTCTTGGCCGTGCAGTCCAGCCTCTGCTTTATGTCTTCCAGGCACCTTCCTCAACCTGGATGAATTAAGCTCCCCATAAAACTAGTGAGGCTAAATTGGTTCCTCCGTGGGTCCAGGGAGCACCAAATGAGCCACTAGTTCAGGGGACATGGCTGGAGTAAGGCTGATGGAGATGGAAGAGACAGAAAAACACTTTCCTGATAGGACTTCCAGCATCCTTTCGAGCTACACCTCCATCGTTCTCCTATGGCTTTCTGCCCTGCTGAGCCACCAGGCAGCAGCCTGCCAGCATACAGGAAACAGCATGGGCTGAGAAACACATGTCCCTGGGGTAGGGAGGCTGGGGGACACAGGACAGGAAGCTGATGCATCTGAAAGCAGCTTACAGTTCTATGATAACAGTCCCAAATATTTTGTCTATTAGTTTAGGCCCCAGCTTTTGGCAGTGAGAGAAGGGATGAAGGCAGGATACATCGTCATGTTATTTTAGCCAATAAATATCTGCCTGTGTGTCCACCAATGAATTTTGCTGTGTAAAAAAGCTAACAGACTTTCATTTAAAACAAAATTAAAAATTCTTGCAGCTTCTCCTCTTACAAATTGCACAGAGCGGCTTGAGAGTTGCTCTGCTATGACCAATGCTTCTCATTCTTACCTTGAGCTTGGCTCATCATAGCCACCTGCTGTTTTCTACATTGTAATGAGACTGCATGTGGAGAAATAGTCCCCTTCTATATATTTGTTCAAATATCTCTCAGGCCAGTTGGGTCACCAGTGTGATTACTAAAGAAAAAAAAAGAGTAAGTGGAACAACATCTCAGGAAAGCAGTGCAGCTAATTGTTCTCAGAGCTCAGAAGCCTGTTGTGAAAACAAACAAACAAACAAAATGGACACTGAAAAAGGGCTGCTTGCTGCATGCATTATTTCTGGGAAAGCAAGGATGCAGCTGCAGGTTTAAAAACGGTTTCCCCCCAGCAGTTTGTTGAGTGCTTTCGTTCTGCTGGCTTCACTTGTTTTTCCTTATGTTGACAGCCTGTCTCTCGTCTGTGTTTTACATTAAACAAGAGACAAGTGATGCCATCACAGAGGTTTGCTTATTTGATTGATATTGTTGCGAGGACTTCAAGGAAACATGCACAGAAAGAAGACATTCCTGTTTAGAAGTACTCCATGATATGGGAAGTTTGCAGCAGCTGCAGACCCCAAGATCTGGCAGAAAGGCTTACATTCATTGAGAACATCATGCACAAGGCAGTTTGCAGACCACTCACTTGTAATAACGGTATCAGCATCTCACAATACTATAACCATACCTCTGGAGAGGCAAACAGAGATAATATGATATCGAACAGCAGGACTCTTTGCCATCTGTCAGCTGGACATTCAAGTAAAAGTAGCAGGGTAGAACATTTAATGCTTCATCTGCTTTCAGCAGGGAGATGTATGCCATCCTAGCCAGAGCATCCCTGAATGATGAAGCAAACTAAAATGTTTGCATTAAAAAGTAACGAAGGGAAGCTATTCTTGGAGCCATGTGGGCCACTAGATTCTTGCTAAATGATGCAGAAATATCAGCATGAAAAATTAATACCTGAAGTGGATGATTCTTACTCAGGAAAAGGAGGCAATACTCAGTGGTCCTCCAGCTGTCCCTCCTGCCAGAGATGAAAGTCCACTTTTGTGCTGCCTTACACAGCAGCAAAGACAGGACACAGCTTAGCTCTAGGCAGGGAGAGGGTGAAGTTCTGTTAGAGGGCCTGCTGGACAGAAGGAGGTTTGTTTTATGGTCCATTTCAGGACCACAACAGCTCTAATAAACAGAGAAAAATATCCAGATGGTAGCAGCTGTAACACGGCACAACAGCCTGAACATGGCATGCTCACAAATCTGACAGGGTGGTAACCTATTCCCCCATGACCACGAGCTGTCACACACTCTGTTCATACAGCCTGAGCCTCTGCCCAATAGAGAAGAACATCAATCTCCCACCTTCCATTTGTAGATTTGGACTTGTTTCAGAGTCCTACAACAGCACAATCCAATTGTACAGGATAGATGAGGCATGGTATTGCTGTATGGCCGCAGATATATTCCTGCATGGAGCAAAACCTATTTCTAGGATTTTGTCTATGTTTGCAGAGCCATTTCAAAACAGAATCAAAGACTCACTTCAGTATGAGAACTGATCAGGCACTGAAATATCAAGCAACTGACCTTGAAAGTCAGGGTGAGAACCAAAATACAATGCCATGCTCAGAGCTTTTATCTCCATTTAAGACACTCTTCCTCACAAAACTTGATGAGAGAATACAAAAGGTGAGAAGCAATTTCTAGCTGAGGTTAAAACTATGAATGCATTATGGCAACAACACAGCAGAGCTCAAGCACAAGTGTGGATCTGAAATACAGCTTCCATGAAGGGAAAGCAAGCTGTGGGACAAAACCTTGGTGTTACGCAGCTATACAGCAAAAATACTATAAAGCTGCTCAAATCCTCAAGGCTTCATTTTCTAAAATACAATCTCACATGACACTGGGTGCAGTTCAGGACACGAACTCCAACTGGGCTAAATCTGTTCAACTGAGGAGATGGTTTAAATAGCAGGACACACATCCTGCTGGATGGACAGCGCAGGAACCAGGAAAATAACCTCACCAACGTCTGCATTTTGAGCCTTCAGGCAAAGTAAATGACCTTTCTCCTTTTGAACCCAAACAAAAAAATAAATAAATCTTGCTTCACTTTCATGACATATAACAAATAAACCAAATAATAATAATGACTCTATGTAATTTTTGATAGAGTATTATTTCTGGCATATCTCTCTACAAAAGAAAATAACTGGCAAACAGAAAGGTTGATATGAGAAGGAAATAGTTTCCTCCTTTGCTCCTTCTAATATCAGTCTAGGTCTTTTCTGAACAGCTCTGAGACTGAGGAATACAGCTGTAACTAAGAGCAAGAGTAACAAATGAGGCATATCAAAATTTCCTTTACTGATTGACCGTGAATAGCACACTTACTCCACCAGTCTAACATGCTATTACCTCTAACAGAGCCAAAAGGGACAAGTGCTGGACTCTGTTAGGATTTGCCACATTCACACTGATGAAACCTTCCCAGCTAAATACAAGACTTGAAATTTCTTGGTTCTTGTCAGTAGCTCAATTGGACTACATATGTCTGGGCATAGGCTTAGCCATATACAGTATCCCAGAGAAGTCTGGAGGGTCAGAAGTCAGCCAGGGAGAAGGGTTGTAGTCTATTTGATCTAAACATGACATGTCAGGTTGA